ATGTTTTTCCCCAAGGCAGATGTCTCCAAAAAAGGATCATCTTCTCACAGCCTTGCTGCCTTTTAGAAAATGTGGTATAAAATCACAAAAATATCATTTGCAGCATGATATTAAATCTAAAACGAGTTTGTGGGCAGTGGCTGTGCTATCCTCTAACAGTGATCTCTGATATTCTGGAGGATTGGCTGATTTTTTTAATTTCATTTCAACATTCTCCATGTTTTGATCAAAGAAACAACTATATAAATAGTAAAAGTGTCGTTTCGAAGGAAGCCCGTGGAGTGGATGTGTCAGTCCTCTGATCAAGCCCCTCTCAGTCGTCCACAGCAGTGCCTGACTTATTTACATTACACACTACTCCATTTCCATTAACACAGCTTTTATAAAATGAGAGATAAAAGTTCAAATCTAATATTAAAGATGTCACATTTTTCATGACTATAGAGATTGAATCTTTCTGTTTTGCCCATTTTTTTTAAAATCGATTTTCAATATCATTGCACCATGATGCATCTCTCTGGCCATACAAAAATCAATATATATTGTTTCTTTTGAACTTTTGGAACAAAGAAAAATGTGTGTTTTCCCCTCATAGCTAACATAAACCACAACCCAGTGGATTTCCAACATAAATAGCACAGCTTGTTTAATAGTTTGTGTGGTGCCAGAACTACTATGTATAACTGGGAGTAAATCAATCTGACACATTTAGAGGAGCATATCATTTGATAGCTGTAACAATAACACTGCAATTTCTCTTTTCTTGAAGCTACATGATAACATCCTTGTGTATGAATTTCACATTTGAATAGCAGATTTAATGCTTAAGGCTAAAATAGCCTATTGAGTTGCTTGTTAATAGTGAAAATCTTTACTGAAGCAAAAAGACTGCAAACTCCAAAAATGCTCATTAGATATCAACATGAGAATAGAGTATTGAGTAATGTATGCTGTGCATTTCAACACAGCTGTTAAATAAAACAACATCTGCTCTGATCCAACATTCTCTGAGTACTAAAATCAATAATGCACAAAATATGCTTCTTATAGAGTCCATTCTCATAATAGAATCCCAAAATGCATATGGACAACTTGCATATTTCTTGTCTGTAAAGCTTTTACTATACATCCTGTAAAAGCACTCCAGGGCACTCACAGCATAATTAAAGAGCCACGGGCAAGACAAAAGCATTATTCCAGCATGTGGCCATTAATGTGCCGTTTACTGCAGCATTCTTGCACTGATAGTTTCATGGTCTTGTACAACTTGTTTGTATTTACCACAAAAAAAGAAAAAAACAATTGTTCTGCCCTTATTTTTCAAAAAAGTATTACAAATTAGAAAACCAATATTAACAGTTGTAAATTGAGTAAAAACCAATGATAACTGCATATGTTTTTAGTTTTGTTGAATACAAAAATTTTACTTTTGTATGAAAAAATAAAAAATTAAATAAATAAATAAATTACTGAAGGAACTTTTTTGTCCACATGGCTACTATTGTCATGGAAAAACTACTCCATTTCCATTAACACAGCTTTTATAAAATGAGAGATAAAAGTTCAAATCTAATATTAAAGATGTCACATTTTTCATGACTATAGAGATTGAATCTTAGCAAAACTCACTCAAGTCATGGAGTTACAGATGATTTTGGTGGAGACAACAAAGCTGCGATGTCTGCAAAACATTCAAAACTTATCCAGTCTTACCACTTGAGTACAACGTCGCTCAACCAATGAGCATTCATTGGCTTACATTTAACCCATCCTCCATAAAAGATGACCCATTCACCCAAAAATGAAAATGATGTCATTGATAACTCACCCTCAAGTTCGTCTTCGGAACACAGTTTAAGATATTTTAGATTTAGTCCGAGAGCTTTCTGTCCCTCCACTGAAAATGTATGTATGGTAAACTGTCCTTGTCCAGAAAAGAAATAAAGACATCATCAAAGTAGTTCATGTGACATCAGTGGGTTAGTTAGAATGATTTGAAGCATCGAAAAAAAACATTTTGGTTCAAAAATAACAAAAACTACAACTTTCAGCATTTTATTGTCTTCCGGTTCAGTTGTAGGACAGCATAGCGTACTTACATTTTCAATGGAGGGACAGAAAGCTCTCAGACTAAATCTAAAATATCTTTAACTGTATTCTGAAGATAAACGGAGGTCTTACGAGCTTAAAATGACATGAGGGTGAGTCATTAATTTTAATTTTTGGGTGAACTACAGTAACACTTTAATCCAGTTTAATTAATTCCTTATCTTTTTGGCTTCTTTTTAATAGTTGTGAGGCAGTTGGTTGGCATCACAGAGGCCGAAAATCATAGTTTCATTCATTTCATTGTGCAGGCTATTCTACAAATATATCTTAAATGTTTAATAAAAAATATACTATACACACTGATTCACAGGACTCATTTTCTTTAGTGAGTATTATTTCTGTTTGAGCATGAAAATGTCTGCAAAGTTACAAAGCAAAAAGTCCCTTCAAAGGGAATTATTCTCTATATCAATAATGTTTCTGAACACCATGAAATGCCTCGGTAGTAGTCTTGAGTTTTCTTTCATTAATGAACATGTCACAATATTACTAACTTAAAGGGATAGTTCACTTCTGGGCTTGAGACGAGAGTTCAAGAGATTTCCACGACGCATGCGCGAGAATTGCGTTCTTATTCTACTACTTCAGTTCAGTTCTTGCACATGCGTCGTGGAAATCTCTTGAACTCTCGTCTCGGGCCAAGAAGGAAGAAAAGGAATAGTCGAATAAAGTCATTATTTTTGTTTTATTTCCAAACAAAAAGTATTCTTGGCGCTTGATAAACTTATCGTTGAGCCACTGTTGTCACATGGAATATTTAAACATTTTCTTCAATCACTTTCTGGGCCGTCAAGTTTCGATCCCTTAGGAGCCTATGTAGAAGTGATCCACCTCTCAAATTTAATCAAAAATATCTTCATTTGTGTTCCGAAGACGAAAGAAGGTCTTACGGGGTTGATGCAGCATGAGGGTGAGTAATTAATGATTAATTTTCATTTTTGGGTGAACTTGGGTGTTATTCCATGCCAAGGGATACACAAAAAGAGGCGGAGGCCTGGATGAGTTGCGTTAGAAGTGTGTTAAAACCCAGGGTTATAGTAAAAGGGCGTGACATTTACAAAACAGGCTTGATGTGGTTGTCCAATCACAAAACACTGGTCCAGCCAACCAATCAGAGCACATTATGCTTTTCGCAAGAGGGGGCTTCATAGTGACCAGAACTAAACAGAGCGTTACTGACAGACTGGAGAGAGAGGTGCTGCAATGTAATGAAATGTGTGAAAAGTGTTTTTTGAATATTCAATCATGAAAACCTATTCTAGTAGACCCCAAAGTCACGCACAAAAAAGTCGCTGTTTGGATTTAAATAGGCAAATACTTAAGGCCTTGTGTCCACCAAAGCATTTTTAGCCAGCTAAAAACGCTAGACGCTCTGCTGAAGACGCCGTGCTTTTGGCGCTTGAGAGCGTTTTGGTTTTTTTGTGTTGAGACGTTTCGTTGCTATGATACAGAATATATGCAGCAGTTTGAATGTTGTGACAGTTGGTCGGTGTGGTTTAGTCCCGCCCCTCCTCCACTGTGATTGGACGGCTGGGTAAAATGTGACAGTGATGAGCGCTGCGTTTTATCCAAAGTTGAACATTTTTCAACTTCCAGCGACCAGTAAAAACGCTCATCGCCTCGTCACGCTCATGGCGTTTAAAAAACGCGGCGCTCCCATTGAAAACAATTGAAAACATACGCCAGGGGCGTGGAAAAAACGCTTTGGTGGACACACGGCCTAAGAGTTTATGATTGGGTCATTATTACAGTGATTATTATGTTTCTAGCATGCTTAATGGTTGGCAGCAGTTCTTCTAAACCTAACTGATGGTGTGTGTGTGTGTGGCTTTTCATTTCTTAAACAACCATGTGGGAAGACACATCATGGCCATACTCCAGGATGACAATGTCACAATTCATCAGGCTCAAATTGTGAAAGAATGGTTGGGGAGTGAGCATGAAGAATCATTTTCACACATGAATTGGCACCTCTGAAACCAGACCTTCAATTCACTAAAAACTCTATGGGATGTGCTGGAGGAGACTTTACAGTGATGGACTCTTACAATACAAGATCTTGACAAGAAAATGATGCATCTCTAGATGGAAATAAATGTTGTGATGGAAATAATCTCTATCACGAGGTGCATCATTTTTTGGTCAAGTCTGACTTGAGTAAATAAACCCGCTAGTTATGCTAGTTTGGAAATCAATATAATAGGCTTTATGCACAACTTACTTCCGCATTCTCTGTAAAACAGGTCGCATCGCTTCCGGTCCAGGTCTTTTTTATGTGCTTCATGAATTTTTTTGCGGTTTTACTCAAGATAACTTAAAAGGACCGAGCAAAGATTAGCATAAACAATATCCCTCACATGTGCAGATTGATATTTAAACGTTTTATATTTTTTATTCTTCACAGCAACGTTTAGATATTTAAATGGAATAAAACGCCAATAACAAAGTGAACTAGTTAGGTTAGCTGATTACCTTAAATATCCATAGATATCGTAGTCAGTTCTTACGGCCGTTAACACTTTCTCTGACAAGCGGATGCGATGAGACCCGTTTTCCGGTTTGGTCACGTGACGCACGGCATAAAGCCTATTACTGGTGTTCTTATGACAACATGAACAGTTTTAGTGATTTGTTGCAATAAACTGTAAAATTAAGTCAGTTTAAATCAGTAAACTAATTTTTTTTTTTAAAATATATTAAAACATGTTGGAAAAAATATATATATTTTAGTTACTATTTAGCCTATTTTGGGGGACAGGCTAAACAAAATCCTGTAGGAGACACTGTGGTATCCTAAGAGAAAGAAAAAACTTGAAAAAAACATGAAATGAGGTAGGAAGACCTGCAACTTGTCTTGTTTGAAGTGTAAGGCTCAAGAGCTTTCGTCTCACCTGCCTGTTTGAATCTCTGGATCAAGCGCTCTCTGATTCCCCTCTGCAGGTTGAAGTAGTCATCCTCTTCGTCGGGCGTACGGAGGAAGAGCGGAATGTGCTGGAAGACAAGCACGTGGCGGGAGGGGTTCTGGATGGCTCTCTGCAGCTGGCTCTCCAGCCAGACCTCATGGGCCTCCATTAACTCAGGGCAGCCTGATGAGTCGAAGAAGAACTGAGAGTTCAACACCAAACACAGCACTCCACCCACCCAAAAGCTGAAGTAATCATCGCCCCAGTCACGGCAGAACTGCTCCACGGTGTCTGGAGTGGGTGTGTTGCCAAGGTCGTGGTTGCCACTGACGAACACCAGAGGAATGTCGGGGTCAGTGCCTCTCAGTGCTTCTTTGAGGTCCTTAACCTGTTCTTCTCTGAACGCATTTCCTGAAAAACGAAGAGATTTTTCTTGTTTGAAAAGCCGAATTTAAGAAAGCCAACATTCAACCGATTCTCAGGATATTCTGAGCTGAATTTTAAGCAGAAAAAGTTATATTTCTATATATTTTACAATATAATATTATACAGATGATTTGTGCACAACAGGACCAGAAAGGCTACAAATTACAAAAACTAGTTAAATCCTCAAGAGATATTGAGCACAGCAGGAACAGCCAGTTTTCTGTATAAAATGAGTTACAGCGTCAGACATGAGGCATGTGATAGTACATAAATACTATCGGCAATGTCTCCTTCCATCTTCAAAAGAATACTGAAGCAGGCAATATGCTGAGGATTCAGAACGAAGTTACTATTTCTTGAGGAAAATGGGGAAGCATCCAGCCTAACCACATCTCTCTAAAGTAAAGGCAGACTGTCAAGCATTGAGTTTTGAAGCTCGTTAATAACAGCCTTGGGTTACCTCTAATATGACAAGTAGGGCATCTTGCTAATTGCCTGCTGTGAATTTGAAACCCAATGAGTAGCGGAGCTGAAATTAGAGCTGGCATTAGTGACTGCAGTTTTGTGAATGCTAGACAAAGAAAACTAAACCAACAGACCATTATTTTAGTCTACTGACTGAGCACCTCACTAAAATGTTAAAAAGAGTCAACACACAGATCTTTTCCATAAGACAGTTCAAAGGGGAAAAAAACGGCAACAATAAAGTAGTCCATACAACTTACAGGTTTCAAATTACATAAAGTTGACTGAATTATTTATTAAAAGTTTATAATAAATAGGGGTGCAACGATACCCACGTCACGATTCGATACATATCACAATACTGAATTCACAATGCGATATTATTGCGATAATCCAAAACATATGGAAAAAGGTTAACAAAAAATGTACTGTTGATTAAAATGCTAAATTTGATATTACATTGTGGGTGTAAATGAATAGGCTTGGACTTGGTGCTGATAACCCAATGCACAGGGCAATGGAGACACCAGGATAAAAATATTCATGATTGTGAAGCTGAAAATACAGAATTATTTTAGACGGATATGCTTTCACTCTGACGCTGACTAGATATATTTAATGTATAGGCCACTTTTTACTGGTAACATAAGATAAGACAATTTGGCATTATCAGGACCCAAAACTATCCCCCCATTGCATTATTATATAGTAGTTTAATGTAGTTCTGACACTAAAACTCTGTAGACGTGAATTTTTTCTCACAGTAATTTTTATTTTGGGTGAACTATCCACAATACATATTGTTGCTTTTTTGTATTGTGATATATCGTTGTTGGTTGGAGTCCTGGTTCCAAACTCCTGAGATTGTCCTTGGGTTCTTTGTGAGAGTCTTCTCTCTCCTCCATGAGGCCGTATCTGGTTGGATCAAGGCCTGCTGGGCCCTCGGGGGCCCCCCAATATCACCAGAAACAGTGTTTGCGGCTGGATGAAAAACTAAGAGAGGGAAGTCACATGTGGACTGTCTCTTATAAAGCCTGAGAAAGATCCAACCCCTAAGGTTTGACTGGACCAACAAACATGGTGAAATGTCTGAGTGGGAAATTTGCTCTAGTAAATTTACGATTCATTGTCCCAAGCGTGGTTATACCTTCATTAACCCACTGGGGACCAAAAACGCGTCCCCGTGTTTTTTAATTATTTTATTTATTTTACTCACATTTGATTTCCTTAGAGCAAATTTAGAACATTTCGTTTCTCCACATAGAGGAATTACAATAAAATAGATTGAAAATCAAAACCTTTGAATCTCCTCTCATTCTTTGTTCAGGCTGCCTCACTTGATGGGCCGTTCACACCCCTGGTCTGAATCTCATTAATATTGATAGGCCATTCCCACTCCCACACATAAACCTCTTCTGACAAAAAAGAAGACACATACACATATTTAGTATTTCAGCAACTTTCATTAAAAAAAAAATATATAACCACGCATAAACAATATTCTCTTAAAAATACAAACATGTACATACATGTTGACCATATATTATGGTAGCCCCGTCTGTGCTATATAGAGTGAATTTACACCTTTGCCATTAACATGTTTATAAATAACTGAAAAAAGCACGGATGTCGGTGCATGTCAAAACATCCCAAGGACCCAAAATAGCCCTTGGTCCCCAGGGGGGTTAATGCTCAGATAGATATAACACATCGACACTGCATTCTAGAAGAAGGTGATGTCCATCAAAGTGTGAGTCATTAAATGAGGATTAATTAGGTAAGAGGCATGATACATGCGGGGGTTTACATTGATCGTTAGTTGGTTGTATACCAAGGTACTATAAAATAGTACACAAGTAGATCACAGTAAATCATTTGCACAATGCTATGGCATGTTCATTTATAGATCAGTCACATATATCTATGATTAATGCAGCACAGTCTGTATTAAAGATTGTTCCTGTCTTCCCATTGTCTCTCTCAGGCCCCGTCCACACTACTGTGTTTTTGTTTAAAAACGGAGAATTAAAACGAATACGATCTCCGTCCACACCAGCGTTGTATCTGCGTATTAGAATTGATCTCAGTCCACATTAAAACGACTGAAAACGCGGATTACGTGACCATTCACCAACACTAGGCATGCGCGTGCCAGTGTATACAGTGGCTAACGAATCAGGGAAGGACACGTCATTGCTGATGACACCCAATCATAGAGCCGAGCCTCATCCTCTGCGTCATCGTTTCTAAACTCCTCTGTTTTGTTCCGTCTTCACTAAAACGCCCTCCAGAGATTCAAAACGCAAAACGGAGCTGCAGCGTTTCTAAACTTCTCCGTTTTAGGTCTTCGTTTTTTCAGTTTTCAGACTGATCTCATGAAATGGCGTATGTATGACATGCCAATTCGTATTTGCATTTTTGGCGTGCATAATCGCTTTTCAGCATGTTTATGAACGCCGTTGACTTAATGTAACATTACTTTATAAATATATGACTACCCCAACCCCATCCAAAACGATGACGTAAGTTTAGTCATGTGATCCATATAGTACCAATAGATATTCATGTTTATCGGTATTGTGCCTGTTATGTTATTCATTTTTACACTGTTGCTAAAATATGTTACTTTCTAAGTTACTTGATATGTGCTATTCTTCATAGCACAGTACTGCAAAGATGACAGTTAATGTACTTACATTTGCTGTCCTGCGGCAAAACAGACCTGCTGTCCTTGCGTTTTAGACCAAACATATGGCGACAGAATGCGACCTGGACGCATCAGTGATGGTGAGATATTTTGCTAAATAAAATTATCCTGTTATTGTGCGATAACATTATTATTTATTTTCCCAGTTTCACGGATGCTCAGTAAAGTGAATTTAGAAGTTTTTCATCCACACTGAAACGTCGGAAAATGCCTGAAAACGCTAGTGTGGACGGAGAGCGTTTTTAAACGAAAACCCCGTTTTCAAATGTATCCGGATTAATGTGGACGTAGCCTGAGTCTTCCCCTACCATCCTAGCAAAAAAAATATCGCTCCCAAGATGAAGATCTACATTTTGCTTCGTTTCGCTCGGACATTTAACGGCGTAGACGTACACGCATACACGCGGATAGCTCAAGTGGCGTGTATGTTGACGCAAAAGTCATGATGTCATGTTGCCGTTTTAGTCTGGACGGGAGGTGCAAACGTAGTAAAAGGTCTCCGTTTTTAAACGAAAGCGCAGTAGTGTGGACGGGGCCTCATTGTCTGGTCTTAAAACCTCCTTATCAGCCCTGTAACATGACACTGTTACAGCCCTGTTGTTCAGTTCCTTTGGGATGTTAGTTTTGGAGTTTCATAAACCTTTGTATGTGATGATTAATTAGTGCGTGTCTGATGGGTCCATACAGAGATAAAGCAACTTCTTTTTTTCTGTGTTCTTGGTGCGAATAGGTCAATTACTAGTCTCACCATGTGATCAATATCTGAATCTGAGCTTCAATTCGACTTTCTTTCAGAATTATGTAACATTCAAGCTCAACAGGTCCCCCCTTCTCCCAGCAGTGCCAAATCCCACAGAAACCTATTAAAATCTTTCCCAGAAGAGATCTCGATCAGCTAAACATACAGAGAAGAGAGGGCTCTTTCAGAGCTGATTTCCCTCTGGTCAGCCCATTGATGTGCAGCTGCTCCTCAGAGAACTTCACTTTTATCCGCTTTCAACAGCAATTAAAAGCCTAACTTGTGTGGAAGGAGAAACAGAAGGAAGAGAAAACCTCTGCCTCACCTTCTGCAATGTCCCCTACCACAGCACTCACAAGACTACAGGTGCAAGGCAAATGTTTTTATAGTCCCCATAAGGAAAGCATCAGGTTCAGTGCTCTCAAAATCTAATCACCTCCCTCGATGATCTCTCCTGCAGCTAGCCAGGAGAACTCCTTGAACCGGAAAGCTCACAAGGGTTCTCTGTCGATATCACGGGCAGCTCTTCAATTATCGTGCGGAACATTGCTTGTCCAACATGCTGCCGCTCACTGTTCATTACGGACGGCAGAACACAGGAGGTAGAGTGCCGAAATAGAAACAGATTTGGTCACCAATGAGGCTTGAAGAGATCACAGCACGTGTCTAATGAAGGTAATGTTGACTGACAGGGGCTGTTCAAAACCCGAGATTGCCAATGCAATGGCACAAAGGTGATGCAAAGGAATAGTTCACCAAAAAACGTGGATGGTGACCAGCTGTCAAACTGTCAAGCTCTAAAAAATGACAAGTCCATTTTAAAAATAAAATGATTATTATTTGAAAATTATCATTAAATTATTCTGATGGTTATAAGACATGTAAATAAATTCCCTTGGCATCACTGATGTTAATTATGGCATGACACATCTCGACATGACATACATGAATATTCACTAGCATTCAAATGTTTGGGATCAGTACGTTTTTACTTTTATTCAGCAATGATGCATTAAATTGATCAACAGTGACAGATTTCTAACAATTTCAAACAAAAACTGTTAATTTTCTATT